TGAAATTCAAAGGTCAACTGTACAATATCTAGGACAGGATTATCCATCACAACTCACTTCCATAGTGGGAAGGGCTTTTGTCTGCACTGTCCAATACAGCAGACACTCGCCACATGTGCCTACTGAACACATGAAACATGGCTAGGGAAACTGAGGAACTGAATTTTAAATTCTATAAATTTTAATTAACTTAAGCTTAAATTTAGCCAGATATGATTAGTGGCTACAGTATTGGACAGTACAAGTCTAGAAGATCACAGTCCACTATGTTTTCTGGAATGCAACAGTCCACTATGTTTTCTGCTATATAAGCTTTCTGTAGCCCTAGCCTTTAAGTGACATTTTTAAAAAGCACATTTTTGACGTTATATTAAGTCCAAGGATCTGAAGTGTTTCAAGAGAATACAAGCAAATAAAAAGTAATTTTTTTAAAAATGAAATTTCCTTAACCTAACATTAAACTGGTAAAGAAGAGAGTACAGGAAACAGTCATAACCAGTAGAATTATGCACATAAGAACACTTTTCTAAATTGGTCCTAATATATTAAAGCTGAGAACAATTACACATATTTAACTAAATGGGTCCACTATATTCCCAAAATGTTTCCCAATATTCTCTCTACATTTTTCAAGAGTAAAATGTACCAGACTTTTCTGCACCTACCACTCTTAGCTATCTGACGTCAGCTATTTTCCCTCACTGTATGGTTCTTCCAGGTTCTTGCATCAAAATCACTTCTCAAATGGTCTATATTCCTCCCTCTGTTACTATTAAACCTGGAGAAATAAAATATCCAAACTGCCAATTCCCTTCGGGGCTCCCGAAGTAATGCAGCCTATGGTCTCTATTCCTGGGTATAATTAGTAAATTATTTCATCAAGATATATGAATTTCAAAAATTCCTGTGGCAAATGTAATCAAGATTCTCAATAACCTTAAACTTTTATTAAGCAAGCTTCTAAAATCAGACTAGTAACAAACTTGTTTAACTATTAGTCAAAACACTGACAGACTATTTGGGAATGAGAAATGTATTTCTTTGCTACTATTTGTTTTATTTGTTAAAAATAGAGCTTCAACAACATATGTCAAGTACTGGTGTGACATAAAAACAAATAAGGCTCAGACCCTGCCCTTGAGGGGGTCACAGTAAAGCAAGAGAATACAATACAAATGAGATTGACAATATTAAAAAAGTTTGCGTAAAGCAAACCAAGAGAACAGGTTTACCTGAGTAAGGAGGTCATGTCTGTCTGATTCCAACTGCAGACTCACAACACTGCCACTGGCGGACTTTCATTATCTCTTACCTGAATAAAAGTGTTATCTTTACTGGAAAATCTAATTTATTTAAGTCTCTTTCAGATCTTGGAATTCTAACTTTGTGAGTAAGCTATTTTAACATCTCTCCAGAAAAAACGAGGAAGTTAGGAAGTTGTTTATGAATGAGGTAACATACTTAAAGATCCTATCAGCAAGCCCAGCCTACGGGGAGAATTCGATACATATTTACAGAATAAAGAACACTAAGGCGGCTCTTACTGTGCCTTCTCTCATTTCCCTCCGTAATAATTAGCAACTTTTAGAATATCCGGACCACCTCTGCCCTTAACAACACTGAGCGGCAACATTCAATCGCTCGCCACAAACGTGCGTGTACTATTCACAGCGCAAAGTAGAGTGGGGTGGAAATCTTAAACTGCTCTTAAGAACTGGCAACAGTTTGGGAAAATACATCCTCCGGTATCCCACGTGTAGGTGAACTTCGGCTCAGTTTGGAGGACATCGAAAAAACAATCAAGCCCAGCACTAGACAATTTTACCACCATCATCTTCTATCTGAA